CTTCCAGAACACCCTCCCCACCCACCACCCTCCACTCACCACCCTCCTCGAACCACACCCTCCACCCACCACCCATCACCCACCACCATACCCCACCCACCACTCTCCACCCACCACTCTCCACCCACCACCCTCCACCCACCACTCTCCACCCACCACTCTCCTCCCACCACTCTCCTCCCATCACTCTCCACCCACCACTCTCCACCCACCACTCTCCACCCACCACTCTCCACCCACTACTCTCCACCCACCACTCGCCACCCACCACTCTCCTTCCACCACCCACCACCCTTCCAGAACCACCCTCCACCCACCACCCTCCATTCACCACCCTCCTCGAACCACCCTCCACCCACCACCCATCACCCACCACCATCCACCCACCACCCTACACAAGCTACCCATCACCCACCACCCTTCACCCACCACCCACCACCCTCCACCCTCCACCCACCACCCTCCACCCACCACCCATCACCCACCACCCTCCACCCTCCACCCACCACCCACCACTCTCCACCCTCCACCTTCCACCTACCACACCCCCACCAGCACACACCACTCACCACACAATACCAACAGACTTCACCCACCACTCTCCAACTACCACTCTCCACCCACCACTCTCCACCCACCACTCTTCACCCCCCCCCCCCCACCAACCACTCCTCACCCACCACCCAACACCCACCGCAATCCACCCACTACCCACTACCCTCCACCCACCACCCCCACTCCACCCACCATTCTCCACCCTCCACCCATCACACACCACCCTCCACACACCACTCTCCAACCATTACCCACTACAACCACTCTCCACCAACCACTCTCCACCAACCACTGTCAACCCACCACCCACAACGCCGACCGCCTGCAACCACCCACCACTCTCCAACCCACACCCACCAACCACCCATTACTCTCCACTACACCCACCACTACACTACACCACACTACATCACCCACTACGCCGACCACCCTCAACCACCCGTCACCCATCTCCCTCCACCACCCACCACCATCCACCACAACCACTACCCACCATCCACCACAACCACTACGCCGACCACCCTCAACCACCCATCACCCACTCCCCTCCACCCACCACCCTCCACCACCCTCCACTCGGGAATTCCATCATAACGATACAAGCAGGAAATGTATTTCTTCGTTCATGGGAGGAACCTTCATGTTCCTGTTGGTTGGCATATACAAACAGAGCCAGTAGGGTGGTCTTGAAGGTGATATGTGGTCTTGAAGGTGATGGGTGGTCTTGAAGGTGATGGGTGGTCTTGAAGGTGATATGTGGTCTTGAAGGTGATGGGTGGTCTTGAAGGTGATGGGTGATCTTGAAGGTGATGGGTGGTCTTGAAGGTGATGGGTGGTCTTGAAGGTGATGGGTGGTCTTGAAGGTGATGGGTGGTCTTGAAGGTGATGGGTGGTCTTGAAGGTGATGGGTGGTCTTGAAGGTGATATGTGGTCTTGAAGGTGATGGGTGGTCTTGAAGGTGATGGGTGATCTTGAAGGTGATGGGTGATCTTGAAGGTGATATGTGGTCCTGAAGGTGATGGGTGGTCTTGAAGGTGATGGGTGGTCTTGAAGGTGATGGGTGGTCTTGAAGGTGATGGGTGGTCTTGGGGGTGATGGGTGGTCTTGAAGGTGATGGGTGATCTTGAAGGTGATATGTGGTCCTGAAGGTGATGGGTGGTCTTGAAGGTGATGGGTGGTCTTGAAGGTGATGGGTGATCTTGAAGGTGATATGTGGTCTTGAAGGTGATGGGTGGTCTTGAAGGTGATATGTGGTCTTGAAGGTGATGGGTGGTCTTGAAGGTGATGGGTGGTCTTGAAGGATATGGGTGGTCTTGAAGGTGATGGGTGGTCTTGAAGGTGATGGGTGGTCTTGGGGGTGATGGGTGGTCTTGAAGGTGATGGGTGGTCTTGAAGGTGATGGGTGGTCTTGAAGGTGATGGGTGGTCTTGGGGGTGATGGGTGGTCTTGAAGGTGATGGGTGGTCTTGAAGGTGATGGGTGGTCTTGAAGGTGATGGGTGGTCTTGAAGGTGGTGGGTGGTCTTGAAGGTGATGGGTGGTCTTGAAGGTGATGGGTGGTCTTGAAGGTGATGGGTGGTCTTGGGGGTGATGGGTGTGCTTTATGGTAATGGGTGGTCTTTGAGGTGATTGGTGGTCTTGAAGGTGATGGGTGGTGTTGAAAGTTATGGTTGAGTTTGACGATGATGGTTGATCATGAAGGGGGAATGTTGAGCTTGAAGGTGATTATTGTGCTTGGGGGGGGGTGATGGTTTTGCTTAAATTAGGTGATGATTGTGCTTGAAGGCGATTGTAGATGAAGTTTAACAAATGACTAGAAGCTGATTGGTACTCTAGAAAGATAACTGAGGGAGAGTTCTGCCACCGGGAGAATAAACTCCGACTGGAAATGATTTAGCTAGAACTCAACACTAAATTGAGTGGTTGTTAACTGAGGGGAAGGAATTTGATGGCGTCAGGGCGAAGCTTGGAACTGAGCAATGAAGTCCTGGAAAATGTGTGCCAAAGACTGAATGCTGATGTGAGGGTTCGCAGTTGCAAATTAACGACTTGGAGGCGCTGCAATACTTGTAGACTTCAAACTATTAGTGAGCCGCCAACTTACCTTAGGGACAGACTGGGACGTTTGTACGAATATTATACTAGGAATTAAAATCATTTAGAATTAATCATAAACATTAATGATTCATTGAATTGCATTTCTGATTGAATAATAAGCATACACCAGAAATTGAAGAATGTATGCTTATTAATTAATTGTGTTAACAAGATATATTGAGTAATGTAGTAGTCATCCTGCAGTCTCGGGAGACTATGGAGTTGCACTCTGGTGGCCGAGGCTGGAGTGTCCTCTCCAGGGCGCCAAGTCTCGGTAGGTCGATATGGAGGAAAAGCTGTTACCAATTGTTACGACCACTTTGGGCTAGTAACCGGGTTCTTGCTGTTATAACCTCTACTTCTATATCCAACCCCAAGTCGGTGGTAAGTTTTCAAGAAACCTGTTGTGGCATGTAGTAGTGCAAAGAATAAAGGAGGGATAAACAATACAAAATTACAACATCACCACTATATATATATAAATATATATATATATATATATATATATATATATATATATATATATATATATATATATATATATATATATATATATATATATATATATATATATATATATATATAATAAAATATTACTACTCGTATTTACAAAGTATCGCTTTCACTCAGGACACAATACATCGACAGTGTTCATCAAATCACCGTGAATGTACTTTCCAGGTACACGTCGTCCATACCTAATGGCAAACACCAGCGAGTTCACCTTCTTCAACATGAGTCAGTCCACACACACCGTATCATCACGATGTGCCAGTACCCCCATCGTCGCTCTCCAGATTCACACTGACAGAGGGTTTCAGCAACACGCTGACAGGGTCTCAAACAATCACATACAGGGGTAGCTAGCACCCTGGCAGAAGTCACTAGCTGCTCGCTAGCAGCACTTCTCAACAGACGCACCACTGTCGTCGTGTAACTCTTCCTGGCCAATCCTGAGTACCTCGGTCCATCCAACACTGCATAAATCAGCAGCTAACACACTGCTATAACCGACGCCGGCCACTTTGTCCTCTCACAGAACCAAGTCAAGAGTTCTTGCACTGTCTAAGGTGAACTTCCCTCCTCGACGCAATATCCTCCTTATGTCACCTCTGTGAACATAAAACGTCATTAGCAAGACAGTATACTGGGTGACCCTAGGATAACACCCTTCCACCGGGAAATTGACTCTGTAAATTGTAGCTACAACCTATTTAGCGTTGATCTCTGGTGGGTGGCGTATCTACCCAAGAGGAAACCGGTGGAAACCGGAGCCTTTCACCGATACCACGCCAGCACCAACAGATGGCGTTGTCTGCATAGCACCCAATACTGGGGAATTTGAGTGCAGACTCGTAGATGATGCTGAAATCGCCACTCCATACTCCAGCGACGGTGTCGATACCGTAACACCCATGCAGCAGGTCACACCTTTCCACGATACTGAAATGTAAAAATGGAAAGGCAAACGCCAATACTCTTAGTTCCAGCGCCGTCGCAGGAGCTTTCAGAACGAGGTTGAAGTCAACAACGAACTGCCTTAGGGGGCTCCACCTGCGGATTTTTTCTCGAGGTAAACTCCTGAAGCCTGCCCCAAAAATGGGTATGGCCACGAGGCTATGGAGGTCTCAGATCAGGGTTTTCCTTCCCCTAGATGAGCTGCCTTCCCAGGCTGTCGAGTCCCATCTACAAGGTTGTAAGGTGCCAGAGACGCGACCTCATGCACGTGGACGAGGACCTGAAGGGCCGCCCCTGGAACTACTCCTGCAGTAGGCTGGTAGCCTCGCTGAAGGCCCTGCAGAACCTCCCGGAGGAGGACTGGGAGTCCTCCTCCGGGGACTACCACACACAACTCAATAAGTGTGTAATGAGTAATTGAAATATATGAAAAAGTGAACTTAGTGCTTACTTGAGGAATGGATGACACAGGTGGGGAATAAGGAGTAAGAGATTCTTTGAAAACTAAATATTCTCTGAAAAAGGTCTAATACGTTCTGGAAGACTAGGAAGTTCAGGCGGCATGATTGATTCCAAAACACATAACATATTCTGGAAGGAATGGTTTAGGAACCCCGTATGAGGATCTGGAATGCTTCGCTGATTCTTTTGAGGCTAGTTCCAAGAATTGTCGTCATTAAACCTCCCGCTCAGCCGCAAATTCTGCGGCTGGAAGGTGTACAAAAAACGTGAAGGAATATGATGAGAAATCGCAAGTTCTCATCCACTTAAGTGGATGTTTAAATTAAGTTTCCACTTGAGGACTGGAAAGTAGGTGGCTAGAATATGTGCCATCTAGTTAGCGTAAGGTACCCGAATGACAAACGGTACACTTAAGGAACTGGAAGACGTAAGCAGGATCCTGGAAGGTGTGAGTGAGGAACTGCAAGAGAACAAAACAATGGGATGAGAAGAATCCAATCTGTGGCTCGGGGGCGCGAGGACAATGACAGCGGCAGTTGAGTGTACTCGTCATCCACTTGACATGAGAGGTGAGAAAGGCGGCCGGGGCGACACATGGGGCCTGGCGGCGACACATGGGGCCTGGAGGCGACACATGGGCCCTGGCGGCGACACATGGGGCCTGGAGGCGACACATGGAGCCTGGCAGCGACACATGGGGCCTGGCGGCGACACATGGGGCCTGGCGGCGACACATGGGGCCTGGAGGCGACACATAGAGCCTGGCAGCGACACATGGGGCATGGAGGCGACACATGGGCCCTGGCGGCGACACATGGGGCCTGGAGGCGACACATGGAGCCTGGCAGCGACACATGGGGCCTGGCGGCGACACATGGGGCCTAGCGGCGACACATGGGCCCTGGCGGCGACACATGGGGCCTGGAGGCGACACATGGAGCCTGGCAGCGACACATGGGGCCTGGCGGCGACACATGGGGCCTGGCAGCGACACATGGAGCCTGGCGGCGACACATGGGGCCTGGAGGCGACACATGGAGCCTGGCAGCGACACATGGGGCCTGGCGGCGACACATGGGGCCTGGCAGCGACACATGGAGCCTGGCAGCGACACATGGGGCCTGGAGGCGACACATGGAGCCTGGCGGCGACACATGGGGCCTGGAGGCGACACATGGGGCCTGGCGGCGACACATGGAGCCTGGCGGCGACACCTGGGGCCTGGAGGCGACACATGGGGCCTGGAGGCGACACATGGGGCCTGGCAGCGACACATGGAGCCTGGCGGCGACACATGGGGCCTGGCGGCGACACATGGAGCCTGGCGGCGACACATGGAGCCTGGCGGCGACACCTGGGGCCTGGAGGCGACACATGGGGCCTGGCAGCGACACATGGAGCCTGGCGGCGACACGTGGAGCCTGGCGGCGACACATGGGGCCTGGAGGCGACACATGGGGCCTGGCAGCGACACATGGAGCCTGGCGGCGACACATGGAGCCTGGTGGCGACACCTGGGGCCTGGAGGCGACACATGGAGCCTGGCAGCGACACATGGAGCCTGGCGGCGACACATGGGGCCTGGCAGCGACACATGGAGCCTGGCGGCGACACATGGGGCCTGGCGGCGACACATGGAGCCTGGCGGCGACACATGGAGCCTGGAGGCGACACATGGGGCCTGGCAGCGACACATGGAGCCTAGCGGCGACACATGGGGCCTGGCGGCGACACATGGAGCCTGGCGGCGACACATGGGGCCTGACGGCGACACATGGGGCCTGGCGGCGACACATGGAGAACCTGGGGCGACACATGGAAACCTGGGGCGACACATAGGGGACCTGGGACGACACATGGGGGACCTGAAGCGACACATGGAAACCTGGGGCGACACATGGAGAACCCGGGGCGACTCATGGGGGCCCGGGACGACACATGGGGACCTGGGGCGACACATGAGGACTTGGGGTGACATGGGGACCTGGGGCGACACATGGGGACCTGGGGCGACACATGGGGACCTGGGGCGACACATGGGGACCTGGGGCGACACATGGGGACCTGGGACGACACATGGGGACCTGGAGCGACACATGGGGACCTGGGGCGACACATGGGGACCTGGGGCGACACATGGGGACCTGGGGCGACACATGGGGACCTGGGGCGACACATGGGGACTTTGGGCGACACATGGGGACCTGGAGCAAGACATTGGGACCTGGGGCGACACATGGGGACCTGGGGCGACACATGGGGACCTGGGACGATATATGTGGTCCCGGGGCGACCCATGGGGACCTGGGGCGACACATGGGGACCTGGGGCGACACATGGGGACCTGGGACGATATATGTGGTCCCGGGGCGACCCATGTGGACCTGGGGCGACACATGAGGGCCCATGAAGACACATGTGGGCCCGGGAAGACACATGTGGGCCCGGGAAGGCACATGGGGCTTGAAGGATACACACGGTGACACTCTGCTACATGTACTCACCTAATTGTGCTTTCGGGTATTGTGCTTTGGCTCCTTGGTCCCGGCTCTCAACAGTCAATCAACTGGTGTACATGTTCCTGGGCCTACTGGGCTCAATCATATCTACATTTGGAACTCTGTATGTGTCTGCCTCCACCACATCACTTCCTAATGCTTTCCATCTATTAACTACTTTGAGAAGAAGTTCTTTGTAATGTCTCTGTGGCTCACTAGGATACTCAGTTTCTACCTTTGTCCTCTTTTGCGAGTATCACCGTGTTAATCTATCTTTATCAACCCTCTCTAATCCGTTGAGAATTTTGTATGTGGTGATCATGACTCCCCTAACTCTTGTGTCTTCCAGCGTCATAAGGTTCTTTTCACGCAGCCCTTCCTCGTAATTCGTACCCAGGCCCACACGCCGGGCCCCTGTGCCGCGCATGGGGGAAGCTTAGGCCCCACATAGGGGACGCGGGCCATGCGAGCCATTCCCCATGCGCCACGGGACGATTCAGCGCATGGGGAATCTTGAATTACTCTTAGGAAGCGGGAAGAGAAAGATGGAAAAAAATAATTCACTAATCTGTAATAAATTAGTAGTTGCAAATTCTTCCATATAAACATCAATATTTGCTGGCAACTTGCGTCCACACATGTGACTCCTGAAGCCATATTTGCGAGGCATGAGACGATACATGTGAATCATAACATCAAACATGTGAGGCCCAGTCATGCGTATTTGGACTAGAGCCACAGGTCTGTGGGGGTGGCGCCCAGCACAAGAGGACCATACCCACGGCTCTGATGCCCCATGAACTCCAACTGACGAATCTGAGCCAAACATTGTTGCCCGAGAGCGTAACATTGAATCATCACACAGGGAATTATGAGGCTACACATAGGGACCTCTGGCAACATATGTGTGCTCTTGGGCCATATAGAGAGCTCTATGGACACATGGCCGGCACTGTGGACACATGGGGGCACTGTGGACACATAGGGGCACTGTGGACACATAGGGGGCACTGTGGACACATGCGGGGCACTGTAGACACATAGGGGGCACTGTGGACACATGGGGGGCACTGTGGACACATGGGGGCACTGTAGACACATAGGGGGCACTGTGGACACATGGGAGAGGAGACACTGTGAACACATGGAGACACTGTGGACACATGGGGGACACTGTGAACACATGGAGACACTGTGGACACATGGGGGAGCCCTGGAAGGCACAGCTGGGATGTGCCTTTGGTCACCCATGGAAATCGTGGAGCCACATATTGTTGCTCTGAGCCATAAATGAGGCTCATGGACATTATTTAGTGTCCATACATTGAACCCCAGAGGCCGTGAATGAAGGATTATGAGCCATATTCCAGACATGAAAAGTAAAGAACATAAATATAATGGAAACTGCAAAATCCGATTGTCTGACACGTGACAACTTCTGTTTATATATATATATATATATATATATATATATATATATATATATATATATATATATATATATATATATATATATATATATAAACACTCACGCTTATTCATATATACATATCCGTATAGCCGCTTGAAGCAATCCAGTGATCCTACGTCCAATATGTTACCCAGTAAATTATTGAATAAATTAAGAAACTTGTTTCCAAACCAATGTTTACCTGGGACTCAACTAAATTATCACGTATCCAATTTATATCTAATGTATCTTATATTTCGTGTATATTTAAAATCTAATTGATAAATCCCTTGGTTATAATCGTTCACCCATTTACGTTCTTTAGACATGTTAACTGTTTCCTCTTCGTCTTTCTAGAGATTAAATATTATGTTATTATTTATTTCTCTTCATATGGAAAGTTTCCGTTTCTTGGGATTAACTTGGTCGTGTTTTTTGTTCGCGTTTCCATTCTCGAATACCGTGATGAATGACAGACTTGCTTAACAAGCAGAACTGATTTCGATATTTTCAAACATATCTTTCCAACTTGGAATTTGTGACTCATCGTCTGTTGTGGCACGTTATTGTGACTCATCATCTGTTATGTCACGTTATTGTAACTCATCGTCTGTTGTGCCACGTTATTGTGACTCATCATCTGTTGTGACACGTTATTGTGACTCATCATCTGTTGTGACACGTTATTGTGACTCATCAACATCTGTTGTGACACGTTATTGTGACTCATCGTCTGTTGTGGCACGTTATTCTGACTCATCGTCTATTATGGCACGTTATTGTGACTCATCGTTTGTTGCGGCACGTTATTGTGACTCATCGTCTATTATGCCACGTTATTGTGACTCATCGTCTGTTGTGCCACGTTATTGTGACTCATCGTCTGTTGTGCCACGTTATTGTGACTCATCGTCTGTTGTGACACGTTAGTGTGACTCATCGTCTGTTGTGACACGTTACTGTGATTCATCGTCTGTTAAGTCACGTTACTGTGACTCATCGTCTGTTGTGCCACGTTATTGTGAGTCATCGTCTGTTGTGCCACGTTATTGTGACTCATCGTCTATTATGCCACGTTATTGTGACTCATCGTCTGTTGTGCCACGTTATTGTGACTCATCGTCTGTTGTGCCACGTTATTGTGAGTCATCGTCCGCATAAATAACTCACGTAGTCAGGTTGAGTCAGGTTGCGTTACATTAGGCCGGCTAAAAATTCTGTCGGTTTTGACCAAAAAATAAATCCCTTTCATATATAACGCAGCGAAAAGTTTATCATTCCAGACGAGAAAATGTTTGCAAATTTTATATTTCAAGAAAATTCGGCGTATTAGAGTAGTGTGGGTATCATGTATGACTGTATGTCTCTGTGATCATTAGAAACATATGATAATTTAGCAGCATGGTGCTGTATTATTTATAATGGGTTATACTAGCATAATGGACTCTAAATATATGTCTTCAACATTGACTCTATTCACAATTAGGCTTACCAGAGTCAGTATTTTGCATGTCTCATTATTCAAACCCTGTAACTCATACATTGAATGTTTAAAACTTAGTTTTTTCAGGCTTTATGATAGCATAAACTCACTCGAATTTAAATATGTTCTGAATTTCAGATCTCTGATAGCATCTGAAAAATTGCCAATTTGGCTGTTTGAAGATATAATATAACCTAAGTGATTTTTTTTTACCTATTTAACGGGAATGATTCTATCTTCTAGTTTTGTTGCAGGTTCTGGGTAGAAATGAGTCTAGTGTGTAAACAGCAACAAGGTCACATATGGCATTAATAATCTTGAGGTTGTATGCACCATTTTTTATTCAACATATTTCTTTAACAATTTAATAGTACATTCTGTTTATGAATATACACATTATGCCATTATATATATACAGAACTTGGAAGGGGTCAGGATAAGGATTTGGGATGAGACGGGGGGAAGGAATAGAGTTACAGGACTGCCTAAGCAACAGCCTGCTCAACGGGCTCGTAAATCTTTCGACTGAGGATTTAAGATCAACAGGCTCCCTGTTCCCGACTGTTGGAAGTGATATAATTATAATAGAGGTACTGTGTTGGAGTGCTTGCTCGGTAACACAGTGGTACTGTCTTAGAATGCTTACCTTGTAACACAGTGGTACAGTCTTAGAATGCTTACCTTGTAACACAGTGGTACTGTCTTAGAATGCTTACCTTGTAACACAGTGGTACTGTCTTAGAATGCTTACCTTGTAACACAGTGGTACAGTCTTAGAATGCTTACCTTGTAACACAGTGGTACTGTCTTAGAATGCTTACCTTGTAACACAGTGGTACTGTCTTAGAATGCTTACCTTGTAACACAGGGGTACTGTCTTAGAATGCTTACCTTGTAACACAGGGGTACTGTCTTAGAATGCTTACCTTGTAACACAGGGGTACTGTCTTAGAATGCTTACCTTGTAACACAGGGGTACTGTCTTAGAATGCTTACCTTGTAACACAGGGGTACTGTCTTAGAATGCTTACCTTGTAACACAGGGGTACTGTCTTAGAATGCTTACCTTGTAACACAGGGGTACTGTCTTAGAATGCTTACCTTGTAACACAGGGGTACTGTCTTAGAATGCTTACCTTGTAACACAGTGGTACTGTCTTAGAATGCTTACCTTGTAACACAGTGGTACTGTCTTAGAATGCTTACCTTGTAACACAGGGGTACTGTCTTAGAATGCTTACCTTGTAACACAGGGGTACTGTCTTAGAATGCTTACCTTGTAACACAGGGGTACTGTCTTAGAATGCTTACCTTGTAACACAGTG